GATAGAGTACTTTCAACATCTTATCTTACATATCTTGCAGAAAAAATTGCATTAATCTCAATAAAAGTAAAAGTCATACCATTAACAAAAAACAACAAATTAATCATCTTATACAAGCTCTGCTTAATTATAATAACCTTTTATGACTTATACATTTGAATACATAGGTTTTTTAATAATTCACAATCTAATGCTAAACTAGCAGTCCAAAAGAAAACAAAATTTGTTAAAAGGGAAGCATTAAAGGTTTTGCGAATTATTATACGGAATTTTAATCAAAATATTAGTGCCTGTTCAAGTACTCAAGATTGTCATTAATTCCAAGTGACACCACCCATTGATATGAGGCATTAAGGATATACTTGTAATGCCACATAGTTGGGTGGAATAAAACCTTAGTTATAAAAATTAGAAAGCAAATGAAGGAATAATAATTTTTATCATCGATTATTTCTACAAAATCCATTCATCCGTTAAATTAAAAATTTGAGGTGTAAATAATATTATACCAAAAAAATTACGTTAAAAAAAATTTATAAAGACATACATACTTATGCATAGTACTTATTAAATATATATATTTTATTTATTGTATTACTAAAAAATTGTAAACTTGCAAACCCAAGCGTTCTAAATAAAAACTAGATGTCTATTTGCCTTTTGTGGAATCTATTCATATTACAATAAAACACTTCTATTCTTGTGTAAACCTGTCATCTTTTTAATAATTAAAATTTATTTCTACCACAAATTTCTACAAATTTAAATTTTTATAGATACATTTTTTGCTTTAATTGACTGTATAGATATTTTGTGGCAACAAGCCTACGGCGCGTATGAGTAATTGACCATAAAAATGTAGTTTAATTTTTATTTAATTTTATTTTAAAAAAAATATATTTTTTCAATGAAATAATTTTAAACATAATGAAATGCATGAAAAAATTTATTTTTATTAATTTATTTATTTTTGTTTCTGATATTACTCAAATTTACAAATGTTTAAGGTATCGAGCTTTGCTTTTAGTAGTTGCCTATAAATTATTTATATCAATAAAATTTAAACATTTTTTAATTTACTTTCCCAATATGCGTGCTTTAATTTTTATCACTTTATATGAGCTCATAAATATTTACACGAGCTTACAATGTTCAACAATATAAAAAAATATCTCTTTTTTAATTTTATATTAAAAAATTGAATTTTATCTAAAATTATCTATTTTTCGCAAATTTACAAACATTCGCTAATTAAATTTTGAAACATTGTTGTACTATTAGGTACCCGTATGTGTATCTATAACTGAGGCTTGTGTTGAATTCACACATATTTAAAACAAAAGACTTTTAAAAATCTGAATCTATATATAAAATACAATAAAAAGAAAACTAATTATTTGCTAGAATTTAATTGTAGGTAACGTAACGGATCTTTTATGCAACAAAAATCGTTAATTCTAAGTTTAAACAAATTTTAGTTAGTTAGTAAGTTGATACCAGAATGTAATCAATGTCATTGAAGTCCCACAAGTTATTCAAATGTGCTTTGGGGTTAGCTAGAACTGCTGAATTCAGATTATTTACAAATTTATTTTAACGTTTTACGACATGAAAATACTGAATACTTATCGTACTTTTAACTAAAAATTACCGTGACGTAATCGAAATGAACTTTAAAATATAAAACTTCTCTAATGACTACAGAATAACAATAAGTCTGCCGGAAAAGTTACAAATGAACTACAAAATGTAATGACTACAAACTAACATCAACTAATTATATCTTCAAATTAGTTTCATCTAAGTTATAAGTGATAATAACAAGTTAGTTTCATTAAAGTGTTTCCATTTGTTATTCGTAAGCAGAATGAAGGTAAATAGTTCTCTTGAAGGTTTCCAGCGGAAAAGAAACCGGTACCTAAATCAATAGAGACTACAGACTAACAATGAGTAATTTTGTCTTAAATATAGGGATATTACTTAAACACAACTATTTAGTTTCAATAAATAATTCATGCTTATAGGCTGTTCATGTAACTCTGATAAATCAGAACTCTTTGAGTTTGAAAAGATCATTGATATATGTATTCAACGATTAGATATTTTTGTACGAACACATATAAGAAAAATTTCTCAAACCATTTGATAAATTATAAAATCTGACGTTAAAAGTATTCTCATTAATAACTTCTCTCGTTTTATTGTCAGTATAGTCTTCAACAAAGTTAAAGTTATGTTGTGAATAAAGTTGAACGATAGTTAAGTCAGTTTACAAAATATCAATTTTCAATAGTTCATTTCCAATAGATCATTCATTACGTCGCACACATATACTTAAATAAATTTTGTACAAACTTACAAATTTCTTTATTACACAAGACAACATCGTTGTTGGCACAAATTTGTTTTGTTTTTGAAATGATTAATGCATTTGCATTTTTGCTTCTTATTCTTTTCTGCTTTGGTGATCTAGGCATTAACTTAACTCAATTCCTCATTGAGGAAGAAGAACAACTCAATTGTATACTTTTTCATTTTGCAATAAAATAGAAAAGAAATGTTAGCGGCAAATTATTATTTATGAAAAAGAAAATAAGAATTTAGTTAGGTTTGAACATTTTAGTAGAAAACAATAAAAACATTTGTGTGTTTGTATAAATAGCACAAAGGGTATGGTATAATATAATATGGTATGAGGGCGGTTTTGGGTTAGGCTAAGGCCCCTTTGCACTGCGACCAGCTTGATTTATTGTGCACTCCTTTGTATTTAGAAATTCAGTATCTAGAGGAATCCGATGAGAACTTCATCTTCTAGTTGGTATGCACCTAATATTTTGCTTCTTCTGGGATCTAGTGCATCATAGTTGGTTATCAGATGTTTTATAGACTCTTCCTCGTCACAGCAGAATCTGCAAATATTAGTGTCGGATAGTGTCGGCTATTTCGTGTAAGTGCACAAGAGAGTAACTTAAGACTCTTCTTGTTTAGGTTGAGAGCGGTATTTGCTATTTTGGCACCAAAATTCAAGAATTTTTTGGAATGATATAGGCCGTCTATTCCATTCCAATATTCATTGATGATTTGTTGGCGGCTATTTTAAAAATAAAAAGGAAACTGTAATAAGAAGTAAAATTCGAAGTTGAAATGACTACTAGACAGTTATGATTGAACAACTGAACAAATATTTATGTAAAATTGTCTTGTCGAATTAGCAAATTTACTGATTTACATGTACATACAGCTTTGGAGCATATGTCGTATAATCTCCACGAATTCAGATTTCTTGATTGGTACTTGAAAATCTTTGCCAACGCTTTCTGTTTGTGGTATATAAGTATCATGTACAAGTGTTCTTATAATTACATTTAATGTTTTCGACTGAAGTCTTTACAAAATTTGTGCACTTGATAAACTGACGTTACCACACAACCAAGTTGGTTTATGGTGCTGTTATATAAGAGAACTACACATACGCTACATAAGCTAACCAAAGCAGTTTAATAGATTTTAGGATGAACTTTCTTGTTAATATAAACCAAATTAGTGAGTGCCTAAATAAATTTTGTCTTCATGAGGAAACAAATTGTCACTTTTAACTTCCATTAAAGGTGTAAGTGATATTTTTAATTCTTGATTTTATGAAGAATGTGTAAGAATATCGAACATAAACAACACATTTTAAATTGGTCAATTTTAAATTGGGAAATTAGTTACAATATTAGCCATTAACCTTTTGACCATTGACTCAGTTCTTTAAAATCGATTCTTAGCTAAGTTTTTGACTTGTATATGCAACGTTTGATTAAAGATTTATGCTTGACTAATCGTCATTACGAGTTCAAATGTCGACTGCACCCCTTAATGCTGTTTTAATATCTATTAGAGTTTCTGAAGTCTTACAAGCTCTTGACAGGTATGATTTCTGACCTTAATTTATGACTTTTAATTTTAAATTATATTAAAGATGCGTGTAATGCCGCATTGAAGTTTTTGAATTAATTTATTATAATTGTTATGAAACACAACATAATTTATATTATATATACTCAAAACAAGAATGAACAAATTTACTAACTTTCTCATTACAACAAAAATACAACATGAAGATGTGTTTTGTGTTGCCCTTAAGTTAAAATAAATAAACTTTATTATGAGTTACAAAAAAACTGAAGCCTTCTCTTCTCTTAACTTGAACCTACATTGAAATAATATTATTCTTCATTATGACTTCGGCAACTCTTGTATAGCTGCCGGCAATTAAGTTTCATTGTAAACTTAATATAATAAGCTCTTATAGGCAGTCCCCATTCTATTTATATCTTCTATTAGAACAAATTTTTAAACGGTAATTATATTTATTTCATAAATTTTTAAAATTGGATACTAAATTTTTATGAAATACAATTATAATTTT